TTCATTTGTTTTGTTTTTTAGAGCCCACACATAAATGCTATCATATGGTATTTGTCTTTCTCTGTCTGACTTATTTCACTTAGCATAATATACCCTCTAGGTCCATTGATGTTGTCACAAATGGCAAGATTTCATTCTTTTTTATGGTTGAGTAATTTTCTATTATATATATCTTCTTTATCCATTCATCTATAGATGGACACTTAAGTTGCTTATATATCTTGGCTCCTGTAAATAATGCTGCAACGAACACAAGGGTACATATATGTTTTCAAGTTTAGTGTTTCTGTTCTCTTCAGATAAAAACCCAGAAGTACAATTGCTGTATCATACAGAAGTTCTATTTTTAATTTTTTGAGGAAATTCCTTGCTATTTTCCATAGCGGCTGCACCAATTTAAATTCCCACCAACAGTGCACAAGGGTTCCCTTTTCTCCATACCTTCACCAACACTTATTTGTTATCTTTTTGATAACTGCCATTCTGACAGGTGTGAGATGGTACCTCATTATGGTTTTGATTTGCATTTCTCTGATGATTAGCGATGTTGAGCATCTTTTCACATGTCTGTAGGCCATCTACATTTATCCAGTTGCTTTATTAATGTTGAGTTGTATGCGTTTTTTGTATATTTTGGATATTAACTCTTCATCAGGTATACTGTTTGCAAATATCTTCTCCAATTCAGTAGGTGGTCTGTTTGTCTTGTTGACAGTTTCCTTCACTGTGCAGAAACTTTTCGGTTTGATGTAGTCCCATTTATTTATGTTTGTTCTTGCTGTCCTTGGCTGATAAGACACACTAATAAAACCTATTGCTAAGATTAGTGTCAAAGAGTGTAATGCTTATGTTTTCTTCTAGGAGTTTTATGATTCCAAGTCCTACATTTAAGTCTTTAATCGATTTTGAGTTCATTCTTGTATATGGTGTGAGAAAGTTGTCCAGTTTGATTCCTCTGTATACAGCCATCCAGTTTCCCAGCATCATCTATTGAAGAGGCTGTCTTTTCTCCCATTGTATATTCTTGGCTTCTTTGTCGTAGATTAATTGACCATACAAGTGTGGGTTTATTTCTGGGCTCTCTATTCTGGTCCACTGATGTGTCTGATTTTCTGCCAGTACCATACTGTTTTGATTTCTGTAGCTTTGTAGTATACAAAGTTTAAATCAGGAAGTGTGATACCTCCAGCTTTATCCTCCTTCTTTAAGATTGTTTTGGCTATTTGGAGTCTTTTATGTTATGTTTCCATACAAATTTTAGAATTATTTGTTCCAGTTCTGTGAAAAATACAATTGGTATTTAGATAGGGATTGCACTGAATCTGTATATTGCCTTGGGTGCTATGGTCATTTGAACAATATTCATTCTTCCATCCGTGAGCATGGTATGGCTTTTCATCTGTTTGTGTTGTTTTCAATTTCTTTCATCAGTGTCATAGTTTTCCAAGTACAGGCCTTTTACCTCCTTAGTTAGATGTATCCCTAGGTATTCTGTTTGCAAATCTTGATTTTAACATAAAATCTCCCAATTTTTACATTGGCAACAATTTCAAATTAAAAAAAAAACAATAAAAGCACAGTGCAATCTGTGGTTTCCATAAGGCCATTGATAAGCCAGCTCGTCACCTCTTCTCTAGATTTTAACTTCCTCAGTGGCAAGGCCATCTTCCACAGCTCTCAGCCTTGCATGTTGCAATCTTAACAAAAAGCTGATCATTAAATGACTAAATTCCAGTGTTACAGCCTTGTTTAAATAGAGCACACCCACAGAAATCCTGCACCTTTGCATTCAAGTCACACTGCAGAATCACCTCAGCTGTTACAGCTGCCTTTAATGCTATTTATCCTGAAGCTCACAACTGTTCAACTCCTCACAAGCTCACTGTTATCACCATTTTACAGATGAGGAAACAGCAGACCCAGGTCTGCTTGTTTAACCTTCTTCTATTCTATCACTGTTTTCATATCTTATGATTATATCAGATTACCATTACTAATTACTGAGTGCTTACTGTGGGTTGGTTACCACATGATCTTATTTAATGTTCACAATTACTCCATAAAGCCGGTACGAGCAATCAGATTACTCAGGGAGGCATTCTTAAAGACTGCAAATAATTCAAGTTGGTGTAATTCAAAATTCACCTACTAAAGCATGCCAGGTATTTGTTTACCCATTAAAATTTCTGTTTCCTATTAGAATAGCCTTGCAAGGTTCTTGACAAATGTTTACACATAAAGTGAAACAATAAGTGTTTTTATAGCATGCTATTCCAAATTCAAATGATTCAAATAAGACCATACAGTATTGGTTTTCCCATTTCACAGACAAGAAAACTGAGAGGTTAAATAACTTAACAGAGGTCAAAGAGCTAGAAAATGACTCTTAATCATCTCACAACCACCAGCCCAACTCTGTGCTCTCGAAGGCCAGCCTTGTGTCAGATCTTTACAGTTACCCTGAATGCCCATCATGACCTGACCGAAAGTGACTCAGCGGAAGCCAGCAAGCCCAGGGAAGTCAAGGAAAACAGCTTTCTATCCCCAGCCCTTCAGAGCTCAGACTTTGTTCCTCTCCCTCAATTCCTGGATCTGCAAGCATGGTCCCTTTTATACCATTCCAAGGGATTAGCTAACCCCCAGATTTCCTTCCTCTGCCTTCTGTATAGTCCTAAATGCTCCTTCAGAGAGTCTGTATCAAAAAGAAAAAAGGAGCAAGGTTTGCTTTCTTTGCTGGTCTCACAGGTATGCGAGGCTAGACCCTCAGTATGACCAGACCGTGTGCCCTACGGCATCGTTTCATCTTCAGATCCCCTGTGTCTGGGTTGCCAGGCAATTAAGAATAAGCAACACCATCTATTCGGAATTCTCTTCAAGCCACAGCACCAAGCATCTGCATACGTGATATCCTATTTGACCTCCTTGATGAGATAAACATTCTCCCACTGATTCACCTAGCTTTGTACTGTGGTGCATGAACACACCAGGTGGATCAGGGGTATGGGCCCCAGCCAGACACCTCCATCCTTCCCTCAGGATGCAATGGCAGGGCAGAAGTGAAGGCCATGCCTCCCTAGGACTCTCCTTTGGTAGCAACAGACAGAAACTCAACTCAAAGTAGCTTACCTGAAAATGGAGAACTTACTGGGAGAATACAGGGGCCTCCATGAAATGCCACAGGACTCACAGAGGAGATCAGGGTGATTCTTCACTGGTTCAACTGCTGTTGGTGACAATTACAGTTTTAAACAAGGTCTGAATTTTTTAAAACATTTTTTTGTTGAGTTATTGTCATTTTACAATGTTGTGAAACAGGGTCTGAATTTTTTGTTATCATGTTTCGCTTTCAACATCTGTCATCTTGTTTGCTTTCTAGGACAAACAATAATAAAATAATAATGTTAATGCTTTTATACCTGACCATATACCAGGCCTTACTCTAGGAAGATTAAATCCCTGTAACCACCACCCTCTTAGAAGAGGTAGGTACTATTATTAACATCCCCATTTTGGAGAAGAGGAGGAGGAAGATGAAGGAGAGAGGATGAATAATTTATAGAAGGTCCCACAGCTATTTTGTGGGATTTCAACTCAGGGGGCTCTGCTTCAAGCTAACATAGTAGTCACTGTGTGCCTGTTAAGCACTTGAAATGTGGCATTAAGACGTGCTACAAGTGCAAAATACACGCTGTGCTTCAAAAACAGTGCTAATTAAAAAACGTAAACTACCTCAACAATTTTTTCACTGATTACATGTGGAAAGGATGATGACTGAGGTAACAGTGAGACATATTATAAAAATTCATTTCACCTCTTTCACGTGGCAGGGAGCCCACTTAAAATGATACACGTGGCTCAAATCCTATCCCTACTGGGCAGCGTTCTGCTTGGCCGCGTGGAAGCCGGCCCTCAGGAGAGAGCAGGCTAGGGTTCCGAACACCGTCCGGCCTCCTTCCCCGTCCTCACACCCCACACATCAGCGGCATGCTTCTCTCACTGCGGTCCCGGGTCTCCGCGGCAGAGAAAAGCCGTGGGCAGGTCCGGGGATTGATGGCTCTGGCTTCAGCCGCTCCAGAGCCTGACTCTGGCGCTCACTGCGGGCGCAGCTGAGGTCCCACCTGAAGCAGCCCAGCGCCCAGAGGGTGGGCTCCACGCCCCCCACACCACACACCACGCGAGTCCATCTGTAAGGGTTCGGGCGCATTTATGCGAAGACGTAACGTGGTGGTACGCAGGGCTGCCAGGCTGACTTCCGGTGTGCTCTCCCAGTTTCCGCTGAGACAAACCTCGCGAGATCTTGGTTTCTGCGTCCTCCTTGAGTCGCACTTTGGCCTTGGCCCTCTCTTTCCAGACAGAGCCGGAAGCAGGGTCCGGGGCCGCAGGGCGTAGAAAACGGCAGATCACATCTTTTCTGGGGTCTTTGGGCAAGTGGGCCCCATGACTTTTAATCCTCGGTGTTTAGACTCGGTGCTGGAGTGTTTCCAAATGGGCATCGGTCTGCAGATCCCAGGAATGGGGACCGGTTCCTTGAGTGCGGTGTGAGGAACGGCAGCCAGCCCTCCCTCCTCTCGTGGGCCTCGGCTCAGCTTTTCAGACCAGCTGTTTCCAATCTGCTTCCTGGAATTTGGGTTGGGAAGGGGGAGGGAATGGGGTGCTTTTCAGCACGGAATTTCCACTCCCATCAAAGCGAATTTTCAGCCAGCTTCATCTGCGAGCAAGCCCCACCCCATTCCTACCACCAGCCCTTTCCTTTTAACTGCAAGCGCGGGAGAATTGCCCGGCTGGGTCAGGTTCAGGGGTCTCCCCAACTCAGAAGTAGGCTCCCCGCCTGAAACACTCCAGGGGCTCCTGGTGGGAGGTCAGGATTGTGCTGTTAGTTCGGCTGCAGTTGGTGGCAGTTAGGATTTTAAACAAGGCTCTAACTTTTGTCTCATGTTCCACTTTCAACATTCCTTTTCATTTTTGATTCTCAGAGGAACCCTATAAGGCAAATGGGGTGAGGGTTACATGAGCTGCATCTTACAGGTGAGGAAATGGAGGCCCAGCTAAGAGGAAATGACTTTTCCATAGCCACATGGCCTGTGAGTTACAAAGGTAGGACTGGGACCCACTTCTTCTGAACCCAAGACCAGTGTTCTTGGGTTTCCCTCAGTAGCCAAGTGTGGCTTTGTCATTCTGTTGCTCCTCTTGCACTTTTTATTACGAGTGAGTTCTTACTGTGTCACGCTCTGGGTTAGAAGCTTTGAGTACATTATCTTATTCTCGTACCAACTCTGTGAGGTAGGTATACTGTGGTTTCCATCAGACAGTTGAGGAAACTAAATGTCTGTGTTTCTCATGGCGCTTAATCACTGAGTGAAACGCCATCCTTCATTGTAAGTGTGTCACAACCTGATAACCGACAGGTCAAATTTAACTGAGTACAATTTATATCTTTCAGGATGGTGCAGAGGTCAGGCTCAGCAGCCTAGCTCAAAGGCCCAGACAGGTGTCCTTGGAGTTTCTGCTGGCAGATCACATTCAAACAGAGTCAGTGAGAGACCAGTGTCCCCACTGCAGGCCCTTTCCACATCACAGTCTGAGTAGGGGGCCCTTGGGAGTGAACCCGGGATTTGTGTCCTGACGGCCAAGGGCAAAAGCAGGAAGAGGAAGACAGTGGACCCCAGGCTGAAGCACTTCAGCACCTAGTGTTTTCCTAGAACATGTGTCTTTATGAAGCATTAGATATTTAGAGATGAGAAACCCAAGTTAAAACCAGACTGAAGAATTTCATCTAATTTAGCAACTCATGATTCCATTTGGGGGGGTTAACCAACTAACAATTTTTTTCCTTCAGCAGGAAGGCTAACCTGCAGCCTTCCCTGTTCAATTCACACCAGAAAGGACGATTTAGGAACTAAGATAGTTTTTTAAGAGGTGAGGAAAGACCAATACTTTCTTTTTTCCTTATCCATGGAACAGATATTTATGGAGTACCTGGTATATGTAAAATGTTCTGCAAGCCCCCTTCCCGTAGTAGGGGGGTGGGTGGCCCAGTGCTCCAGAAGGCCAAAAGGAAGAAGGGATTCGAATTGGATCTGGTGTGAGTTAGAAAAACTGAGGAAAGGAGAAAACTTACTTGAATCCAAGGATACCAGTGCCCTTTCTGGATTTAGACCACTTGTTTTCTCTTCACCGTGAATTTTCTTCAGAGCAGAGACTGGGTCTCAAACACTCGCTAATCAAGCAAACATTTCTTGACCACCCACTGTGTGCAAGGAAGTTGGAAACCCTGGGAATGTAGCAGGTGTCCCTGCTCCCAAGGGGCTTCCATTTTAATGGGAGAGGTGACAGGCCCAGTGAGCAGGTAAGCAGACAGGTGCAGCGAATACAAGTGAGTTGTAAGGCCTGGAAAGACAGGGCAAGGAGCTGGGCTCCAAACAGAGAGCTGTCTGCAAGGAAGGCCTTGGAGGTAGTGACATTTAAGCTGAAACACAGCTTCTCCCAGATGAAGTGCCAGCATGCCGAGAGGTGGGGCCCCTGGATTGCCGGCAGAGGGGCAGAATAGAGCTTGGCCTGAAGGAGGCGGGTGCGGGAAGAGAAGGGAAGAGCCACGTTAGGGTGGAGGCTGGGGGCCGGGTCCTTTAGGGCCAGGTCAGGGGTCCCCATGTTTGCTGTTCCCAGCCAGGGGCTACTGGAGTGCGACTGTCCAGGAGGTGGCGTGGCTGAGTTATGTTTGTAAACGATCCCTCCGGCTTGGGCATGGAGAGTGCCCCTGGGGGGAGCAGGAGACCAGGATAGAGGCCCTTGCTGGGTCTAAGCAAGGAATGAGCTGATGGTGTTAAGGGTCCTGGTCTTTGGGTCCAGCCCCTGGGGACACCCCATGAACACTCCACAGTGGATTGTGGTGGGGTGTCAGGGCCCAGGAGACTGCCCCCATCACCCTGGCTGAGCCACGTGTGGGTCTCTCAGAGGTCAGGAGGTTTCCTCAAGCGTCATTTTCCTCAAATATCCTAAGGGAGAAAAAATAACTTTTACATTTTCAAAACCATATGTTTTTCTGTGTGTATGTGTATGTGTGTGTGTGTGTGTACAAAATGATATAATAAAAGATGAGATATCAAAGAAATTTCTCTATTGCTGTGTGTGGCTTTGGCATATGCTTCAATGTCTCTTCTGTAATTTGGGATATTTAGCAAGAAAAATCTAAGAAATGCTGACATCATGGAAAGCATTGGGGCATTAGGGTCAGCCAAACCCAAGTTCAAATATAGCTTCTGCCATGAACTAGTTTTGTAAACATGAACAAATTAACTTCTCAAGCATCAGCTTCCTCTTCTATAAAACAGGGAAAAAAAAGCAGCAGGAAGGGAGCAAGGTGAAGTACGTTATGCGTGGTCTTCAGAGCCCCTCAGACACAGGTTTGAATGTTGTCCCCTTTGCTCTAATTGTGTGATATGGGATAAATCATTCTACTTCTCAGAGCCACTGTTTCTTCCTCCGAAAAATGGGACAATACATTTACTGCCTTCATAGGGTTTATTGTAAACTTCAAATAAAATAATTCCAATAAAAATCTTTGCACAGTCCCTGGAACTTTGCAGGCATCCAGTTGAGTCGGTTTGCCTCTGCCTCAGTTTCCCTGTCTGTAACTAAAGGGGTTGGTCTCTTGGGGCTCCCCTCAAGTTTGTCCTTCTAAATTTGTTTAAAAGACCCTGCAAGAGTTAATCTGTCTGGATGCCTTGGGGCCTTGGCCCCTGTCCTAGCACTGGGCCCCTGTTTTTTTCACCCACGTGGTGTGGAGAGGAGGTTGGCGGGGAAGGTGAAGTCACAGGCTGGGAGCAGGGCTATTTGGAGCCTGGTCTTTCTTGGAGGTGCCCTGGAGGCAAGGAGACTTGCCTCTCCCTCCCGGTAGGTTTGGAACCAGAACCTAGTCTCCCTGCCTGTATTTCCAAAACAGTTCCTTGCTAGGGCTGCCGGAGTCTCCAGGCTCCAGTTCTGAGAAATCCCTTCCTCCCTGCATGTTCCAGAGCCCAGCTCCTCCACCCAGCCACTGGGGCCTGCCCTGGGCCAGCATCACTGAGCGGGATCCCCTGTTATCCAGAGAGGCTGGTGCTGGCGGACCTGATGTGGGCTGGAGAGCAGACCCTCCTCCCTCCTGCCTGGCTTGTGTGGCTCAGAGTGGAGGTCAGAAGAAAGAGGCGAGCCTTAAGCAGAAACCCTCGGTTCCCCTCCCTCCTTCCTCTGTCGCATCCGGCAGTCTCGCTTTCCTGCCTGAGTTGCAGACTCTCCTCTGCTTAGGAGACTGGCTCCCACCCGCTTCCTTCCTCCCTCCCTCCCTCCCCACATATTTGTAGATCGCAACTTTCTGAACCATTTCAAACCTGCTCTGAGAGTTGATTTCTCTTCTGGTGGCCCAGATGTGTCCCACCTCACAAGTAATACTGAGGCCAGTTTGGCAAGACTCTCACCAAGTAGACAAGGGAAGGAGACGTAGATTCCTGGGGCCTGGGGAGCATCTCAGACACAGTTTTCCAAAAGCCCATCATGCATGTAAACTTCCGCTAGGTTTGCCACGTCAGCCTCCCACCTCCGCTCTGGCCTGTGCAGCCCATGTTGAGCACGGGTACCACGAGGGAGGCATCAAACTGCAGCTCTGTCTGCCTCCCTCTACTCTTTGTAATTGAGCCAGTGAGGGCGCTCCCCATCCCCCTGCTAGTCCACTCCCAGGTAACCCTCTCTTCAGTCTTCATTCCTCCTGTCCCCCAGAGAAAGTGTGAGGCTGACAGGGCCATCTGCTCCCTTCTCCACTCACCTCTCTCTGGGTTGAAGGAAAGAGCAAAAGGAGAGGTTAAGAGATGGAAGGAGGGTTCAGATTCTTACTTGTTTCCTGGCTGGCACAGGGCTGGGCTCCTCTGCCCTTTGGGCCCGACAGCAGTGGAAGCTGTCTCCTTTGTGGGGGCTTTCTGCGGGCCCCTTGGGGGTTCCAATGTTGGGCCGTAGGACTGGAACAGCCGTAAAGGCAGCCATGCATACTTTCCTTTCACCGGCAAGTCCAGGCCTCCCCCTGGGCTTCTGGTTTTCTGGCGTCCACCCTGCATGCTCATCACTGCTGGGCCCCTCTCTTTCTGTTCTGATCCCTCTGGCTCAGGCTGCGAAACGTCTGGTACCTTCCATTTACCAGGGAGGGTGAGAAGGCAGTCAGCCCCCTTTCCTGTGCAGCAGAGAGCTCTCTCTTCCCCCTCCACCTGGGCCACCAGCCGCCCTCCCACCTCCAGCTTTCTTAGACCTGCTGGTGTCAGGCAAGGGCACACTGCCTCCACGGGGGCTGTTGCATTTTAAAATCCAAAAGTGCCAAGAGTTGTGGGATGGGCTTTCAAACTCCTTTGTCAGTTCTTCACTTTGGCCTGACCATTGGATTTAGAATGCAGCTGATCCTCTTATATGTCCTGGTGCCCAGGTGAATATTTAAATTTTAACACCCTCTTTTGCTCATCTACTCAGTCTTTCTTTACATTCTCTCCAAAGGATGTGAAATTCCTTTCAGCTAAGTACCCAGAGCTAACCTGTGCCTCTGTCAATCGCCGGCCTTCCTTGCATCCTAGCAAATACTCTGCCCAGGGTCCCTGGCGCCTTGGTCCTGTCTGGGGGTTTCCAAGGTCTTCATGCATATTTGTGGCGGCTTGCTCAAGATTCTTTAAGAATAGGTGTGGACTTCCGTAGATGACAGCGCTGTTTGTGGAAAAGGGATATTAGAAAGGGTTATAGAGGCAGGAAAGATCCACTTCGCCAAACTGAAACTGTTTTTTCTTCATCAGGATTATAGAAATTGAAAAGATAATCGTTTTGCTATTATATGATGTCCTGCCTTAAATAAAGGCAGTATCTGGTACTAAATCATCTCTACCTGGCCTGAGACACCCTTGTGACATTTAGTCTTTGAGGTCTGGAAAAAGAAAGTGACTTGTCCAAAGTCACCAAGTGGGTGAGTCTTGGGGCTGGCCCCCTGAGGACCAGCTCAGTGCAGTGTTGTAGTCTCCCCGCCTTGGCTTCTCTCCCCTTCATCTGTTCCCAGGGTTAAAGAATTGGAGGGGCCGGGAGGAGAGATGGAGTCAGCCTGTTTCCAGAGGCAGCCCGGACGTCTGGACAGGCTCCCAGGCCCCAGGCAAAGCAGGATGTGAAGGGAAGGGAGGTTGAGGGCCCAGGAGGGAAGTGGAAGCTGCAAGGGTGAGGCCTGAGCAGGGTTCCTGCCAGCGCCACGCTGCGGGGAGCTCCCTCATGCTTGAGGTCTTGGATCAGGCAAAATCAGTGCAAGAACAGAGAGAAGCCAGCAAGGCTTTGTATCTGGAAAGAGAGGGCAAAGTGGAGTCTGAAAGTCTCAGTCAGCACAAAGGTAAAGGGACCTTAGAGTGAGATCCTCTAGTCCTGTGGTCCTCAAAGTCGGTCCCTGGACTGCCAGCAGCAGCATGCCTTGGATACTGTATCATGACACAAATCTTCCAGCCCCAACCCAGACCTACTGAATCATAAACTCTGGGGTGGGGCCCAACAATCTGGGTCTGAACAAGCCCTCCAGGGGAGTCTGCTGCACGCTTGAGTGTGGGAACAACCCCTCATTTTTCATGTGGGGGTGGGGACCGAGGCCCAGAGAGGGAAAAGGGCTTACCTAAAGTCACGGAGCAAGTTAGCACTTCAGAGTTCATCTCAGAGGCAGGAAGTGGCAGGAAGGAATGGTCTCCCTCCTGGTTTCATTCCTGGGAGAGAGGCTGTTGGCTGCAAAGTGACTGAGCCAGACAAGGCACTGATTTCTGCTCTGGACCTTGGCTTCTGCATCTTCCCAGCGAGGGGCTGGGGGTAGATAGATAATCTCTGGGCACCTAACACTCTGGTCTCTAGTATGGTCATGCTGTTGCTGTCCCAGCCTTAAAGACATGGTGTGAAATGAAGGCAGTCTGAGATTTGTAGTCTCCAAAAAATTATGCCCCACACCTCTTTTCCAGGAAGCTATTTATTGCAGGATATATGCCACCAAAATGAGGGAGTGAAAAATAAAATATAAAACAAAAAGAGAAAGACATTGGATTCATAGAGCAGGAGCTACAACACAGGAGAGAGGCAAAGAGAACCAGCATGATGGTGATAAAGGAGGATCCTGGGGTGACAGCTTCGCATTTACAGAGATCAGAACAAGATCTATTCACTAATAGAGGGGTCTAGGATTTATGTCTGCAGGAAAATAAACGGAGGAGGTAAATTACCTGACACATTTGATGATGTAGAAAATAGTGGTGTAGAAAATAAAGCAAATAAATGATAAAACTATCAATATCTCCAGTAAGAAAAGTGTATACAAAAAAAGTATAATTATAGTACAGTGCTCAGCTTAGCAGTAAACATTGCTTACAATCATTCAAAGAATGAATTTTGATCTAGTCAAAAATTGTATTTGAACTCCATGAGGGAGAAAAAAACAATCCTCATCTGTCATAATAGGAATTCAAAGGCAACATCTAAAATTGATAAATCAAAAAAATCCATATAAGCACATTATATTTTAATGTGGATAAATAGCAGAAGAAAAGGCAAAAGCATTTGAGGAGTGGGAGGGAGTTTTGAAGTGAAGGATGGGTGGGACTGAACATCACACACAGTTTTTCATTATAAGCCTTATAGTATTATTTAACTTTGAAACAATGTAAGTGTATTTTTTATTATTTTTTTAACTTAAAAAAAAAAGCAGACAATTCTGAATCTGCATGGCCTCGTTCAAATCCCAGCCCTGCCACCTGCTGATTCCCTGACTTAGTCATGCTGTGAAACTCTCTGAGCCTGCATTTCCTCCCCTGTGTCTATCTGGTAAGGATGCTGTGAGATTAAGTAACGCATGGAAAGCTCTTAGCCCCATGCACAGGAAGCCCTTGGCAGAGGAGCTGCAGTCATGGGCCACCAGCGCTGCTCAGGCTTGGGGTACCTTCACTCAGAGCTGACACCCCAATTCTCACCCACCGATGAGCTGCGCTGAGTCCCCTGGGAGAAGCAGCCTAGTTGCAAATCATCACCTGCAATTTGAAGTATTTCTGCCCTTGTAACTTTCCCTTCATGCCACCTGTTCGAATGAAACCATGGATCGTTTGTCTCCATCCACAGCCCCTCCCCATCAGCTGTCACTGGGCTGTCAGTCCCGCCACTGCAGACAAAGTGTCTTCTGGGTCCATGACTCAGCTCATCCAAATAGGTCCTCGGGATGTGATGACACTGTCCAGCTACTTGTATGTGATGTAGAAGAGAGTGAGAATCAGAAATACATCTGTGTCTCTCCCTGGTGCCTTCTCCTCCTCCCACTCTGAAAGCCTCTCTGACTGACCACCAGTGAGCTCACTGGCTAGACTCCCCACTCATGGCTCTCTTGTCTCCTCCAGGTGACCACCATGATCCCCTGGGTGCTCTTTGCCTGTGCCCTTCCTTGTGCCGCCGACCCGCTGCTAGGTGCCTTTGCCCGCAGGGACTTCCAGAAGGGCCTCCCTCAACTCATCTGCAGCCTGCCTGGCCCCCAGGGCCCACCCGGCCCCCCAGGAGCTCCAGGGCCAGCAGGAATGATGGGAAGAATGGGCTTTCCAGGGAAAGATGGCCAGGATGGCCAGGACGGGGACCGGGGGGACAATGGAGAAGAAGGTAAGTGGCCCAGTGCTTGTCTCTCCTGTTCCTTCCCACCTGCAGTTGACAGCATCTGACATGAAAGGGGTTTGTGAAGTTACGAAAACTCATATTAACTCATTTCATTATAAACCAAATTAATGTATCTCAATCGCTGTCACTGTTTACTCTCCAGAAAGGAACAGTGACCATCAAATCTTGTGTTCTTGACCTAGCTGCACCACTGCTTTGCTGAGTGACTTTAAGCAAGTCTCCTGAAATCTTATTTGTAACTCTTTTGGTTGCAAGTGACAGAAACCCAATTTATAGTCCCAAATGGAATTTATTGTCTCATACAACTAGGAAGTCCGAGAGCTGAGCTTCAGGAATAGCTGGATCCAGGAGTTCAAATACTGTTGTCAAGGCTCTGCTTCTCTCTGTGTGTTGGTTTGGTTCTCACAAAGGCTGGAAGTTGTGAAATGCCCACTGGTGGGCTCAAGCCTAACTCCTCATGGCTTGATCCATAAAGTAAATCTCAGGATGACTGATCCTCCTTGACCTCCTTTTGTGGTCAAAGGGATTGATGCAGCCTGAACCAACCCCTTTGACCACAGAGGTGAGGTTCCACCATTTGCTAGGACTGAGTCATGCTCCCACCCCGGGTGTGTGTGCATGGGTGGTGAGGACAGTTGGTCGCTGAGATTGGCAGCCTCACTAGGACCATGTGAAGTAGTGAAGGGCACTTTCCCAAAAGAAGGGAAGCCAGGCAGGCACAGACAGATTGGAAACTCTCTACAGGTTACTGCTCTTCCTTGATATTCCTTTTATCTCTAAATGCTACCAAGCACTTTTCAGTGTCAGCAGCACCCCAAAGTGTACACTTTAAGCTTGAGGGAAACCATAATAACTTTCCATTGTATGGCATTTCAATATTGACATAGAACTTTTGAGTATGTGGTACATTTGCTGGTACAGCAATACCATCCCGTGAACGAGGTGCTCACGTTGCCCCCATGTGACAGATGAGGGCACAGAGCCAGAGAGACTAAGCTGAGAATAGTACACTGTAGCTCCAAGAACTTGAACTCTGAAAACAAACCTGGATACCAATTTTGGCAAATGACCTCACCTCTCTCCAAACCTCAGTTGCCTCACCTCTAAAATAGGGATTATAACAGCACTTACCTTGCGGGGTGCAGTGAAGACGAAGTAAACTGACCCATGAAGCACCTGTCTCCGAGTAGACATACAGTAAATGGTACATCTAAGTCCCCCTTAACAGACTTGCTGAGCTCACCCAACAGGCTGGGAGCAGACTCCAAGTCCCAGCCTTTTCCTATTGCACCAAGTTAATTCCTCCAAGGGCACCTCCTCCCCAGAAGGATAACTATAAAAATAATGATAATAGGGGGAGAGTATAGCTCAGAGGGTACAGCTAAGCATGTACGAGATCCTGGGCTCAATCCCCAGTACCACCATTAAATAAACAAATAAATAATAAACAAACCTAATTACCTCCCCTCGAAATAAAACAAAACAAAAATAATGATAATGGCTTTGACTTGAGGGGATCTCACAATGTGTCAGGCACTGGATGACATTGTTCCCATTTGCTGACCACAGTGGTCGATTCATGTCTGAACATGTGCTCCAAGCAGAGCCAGCCAGTTTCCAGGGCATGTGCTTTGTGACTCTTAGGGGTGAGAGGGGATCTCTGCAATTGCCCTTCTTCCCTAATCAAGAGCTATGAGGACATGGGTTTGGGGTTGGTTTTGGCCAACTCTCTTGCCCTATATTGAGTCACCACTGAGAATTAAGCGAACACACCAAGGAAAGCAGAGTGGAGAGATGGAGAGTCCTGACACATGTAACCCAGAAAAGCCAGGTCACCCCGGGACCAGTCACAGTAAAGGATAATATTCAACCACTCTCCCCTCCGACATACATGTACAAATCCATCTCCAGAAAGGTCTTGGCAAGTAAAGTCGGCTTTTCCTGACGTTTCTCAAAAAAAAGGAAATCAAAATGTGACACATCCCAAAACACATCATAAGTAGGGAAAGGTGCAGCTCAGGGGTAGGGTGCATTAGCATGCACAAAGTCCAGGGTCCCATCCCCAATACCTCCATTTAAAAATAAATAAATAAACCTAACCCCCCCAGCAGAAAATACAAAATACATCATAAAACTTCCAGATAAGCTTCCTTATCTATTTGTCTCCCCCCAAAATTC